ATGATTTATATAGGGGATTATTTTTTTAAACTTTGTTAATTAATTAAGATATTCAAAAGAAATTGATTATTCTGAAGATATAAATATTTTATTACTCCAGATTTTTATTTAATTTACAAGAATAGTTTCTATTTGAAAATTTTTTTAATCGAAATATGTATGTAATTAACTGAAATAATTGTGTGTATGTAAATTTTTCTTCCTCTTTCTTTAAAGAAGGACGAAGTATTTTGTTCTCGTTATTTGAATTTTTCTAGTCTTAAACGAGGATAAAATTTTAACTTAATTCAACAAGCAACTTTTAAAAATATCCATGAGCGCGAAGATTCGTTTATGACTTTTGCGAGTGCTGTATTGAGGCGAGCGTAGGGTTGCCTCTGAGTGAGGGTTACTAGATAAGGCGGTGAAACAGTTGACAAATAAAACCGCGGCGAGTGGAGGTGCTCGGGAGTTGACAATGTGTAAAGTCGCGCCCCTGACGGGGCCGAGACTTAGCTCCTATAGGCTTTCCCCCATTAGTGCGTAGAAAGTCAAAGGAGATGGAAAGTTTCTGTCTTGATTTCTAAGCTGAATAAAATTTTTTAAGTTAGGAAACTATATGGAAATGAAACTCAAAATTGTATTAAACCTAGTTGGAGGTGGAATTGTACGTTCACTATGTCAAGAAAAAAGACGATCAATTCATTCAGCAAATATTTTAGCTAAATTCTGACTCTTTCTACTAGGTACTTCATATATATTTCACTCAGCTAGTTTTTTGCAATCTTTTCCCCATTTCAGGGTTGCCACAGAAAAAAAATGAACAAAATTGTTGCTACCAGTAGCCTAGAGCATGAAAATAGTTGCCTGAAGAACAAAAAATTTTCAATAATATTACTAAAATTTTATTAAATGACTTCATTGTAATATACCATGATCCATTTAGATTGATGATCAATATGATAATTTTTAAATAAACGTTAGTGTTCTAGCACTAAATTTTTATATAACAAAATCAGTATATTTGCAGAAAATTAAATACTAGAATTAATTCAGAAAAAAAATTTTTGTTTAAAAAAAAAAACATACTCTTTCTAAAAATTTTCCCTTTTATCAACAATTGATTTAGCAAATATATATATACTGAAAAGTTATTACTAATATTCGAAATTCACGCATTATAAGATCGTACTAAAAATAGGGTTCTTTAAAATCATGCAGAACTTCGCAGCAATAGCTGTTGAAAAGGCTATTAAGAAACAAAATAGATTCACAACGGAATCTGCGCAAATTGAGATCATAAAAAGTGATAACTCAAATTTGCAATTCAAATTTTTTAAGAAAAAAAAATTTATTATGTTCAAAAGCTATAGCGCCGCAGGTTGTCAACCCAATTTATTCCCCCCCCCAAAAAAAAAAATTGCTAGAGCACCGAAGTCTCCTTTTCTTGAAAATAGTTGCTTTTTCTACTTTTCAGGAGAAAAATTTTTTTCCATAGTTGCCTCAGGTCGAAAATAGTCGCCTGTGGCAACCCTGCATTTATATTATGCCACATTATTATATTGCAATCTTTTCCCCATTTATATTATTCCACATTATCATATCGCAAACTTTTCCTCATTTATTTTGACAGTGAAATGCTTGTGTGGAAAATGTAAAACAGAGCAAAGTTTAAGCAAAATAGTTAATTACAACTTCTTAAAAAGTCAAAACGCTTAAGTAGTTTAATGATATCAAATATTTATAGCTTAGATAAATATACCTAATACAATTATTTGGAATAGATTTTTTCCTTTTAAACTGAAGCCAATTTCCTAAGACAAATCAATCATGTTGAGACTCTACTTAGATAAAAATCATAGTAAAACATTCCTGCGTCAGACCGCTGTGAGCCAGGGGTCATGGAGGTTAGGACTCAGCAGCATGACTGAGACGATGTAGACAGCATTACGCAGAGGCCACCTTTACCTCCGAGACAAGCTGGATGGGTTTCAAGCTACCACCGGAGACTGAACCCCAGGTTTTCACAATAGTAGCAAATGAAGATAATGACCTTAATTAACCACCACGGCCTATGTAAAGCAATACAGCTATATAATTGCTTACTAGAGAAAACTAAAGCAGCACAACATTTAAGAATAAAGAGGGAAGGGGTAAAAAAAAAAAAATCACACAAAAGCAGAATGTGGTGGTATGAATTATTTATTAACTAGGTACAGGTTTAAACGAAGTGAAGTATACATTACATAATTCAGATACAGAATGTAATAGGACAGAAAAAGAGAACTAGGATAACCAGCTTTAAAAGCAGCCTCCATTTAACACAAGCATGGAATGATCAAATATACAGATGCCTATTACAAGATAGTAAATGATGTACCATAAAAAAAAACAAAAAACACCCATTTATTGATTGATGGAAATTATGAATACAATGGAAACATACTCATTAATTAGCATAAAAACAACACATTTTTAATTTCAGGCTTATTTCAAATAAGATACAATAGCAAACCTGCTTAAAAGAAATCAACACGTTTTTGTTAAAGATACATATAAATTTCTCCAGGTTCGATGCTAATTCTGACAAAAAGCTTCAGATTTGACATCCATATTGTAAAATTTAGGTGTATCATGTAATGGTATTAAACAGAATTTTTTTTTCAAAACAAATAACAGATGTTTAGTGATAAAATTTAAACACAATGTAGCGTAGCGTTGTGTACATGCTTGGCACTCACAATGCAGTTGGTAGCAGCAGTTGAAAAATGACTGGCACAAACAAGTGATTACTTCTTTAAGCCACAGATCTTTTTTTTTTTAATACAGTTTTTTTTAAAACTTTTTATTATCAAAAGTGACTTTTATGAAAGAGAAATCATATGTAATATTACAGTCTGTATACTGAAGCTCTTCCCCAGGATACACTATTCTAGGTCTGGAAGTTCTGAAATGGAAAATAAATATTTGTGAGTCACACGTAATACAACCGATGAAAAGATTGTATTACTTGACAAGACTACCACTAAGTTATTTTAAAAGGATGAGTGAATTATTTGAATAAATACTTATCTTCCAATGTAAACACAACTTTCGCGAATATATTTTTTTTTAGTAAATCATAAGAATAAAATTTCCAGTCAATTCTAAGAAAATAATAATTTTATACTTAAAATGCAAGTTTCAGGAACATTAATGATAAAGTCTGCTAAGGAAATTTATTTTAAAGCAAATTTTCACGCAGTAAAATCAGAAATGTTTTGAATTTTTTTCCTTCTTTTTTGAACTTCTAATATCAGGACTGTTACCTCCTGAAAATTAAAATTTTAAACAGTGAGAAATAATTCTTGCATAAAATGCAGTTTTTCCTCTGCTTCTTAGCTAGCTTTGCAATATTTCCCCTCGTGTTCATGATTTTTCACACACGAAGCTTTAATCCAATCAATAGATTGGACGAGATGGACAAACTGCATGGCCTTTATAAAGCCCACACTTCTGAACCTCCAGAAATAAGAAAATTGTGTTCCAGACAACATATCGATATGAGCCATATATAAAAAAAAAATCGCATCATCGATGCATTTACATTTAAAACTGAAGCTTAGTTATTTTTATGTCTGTCATAAGGTGTAATAGACAAGGTGTCATATGGGTCATAAGGTGTAATAGACAAGTCTCTGGTGTCAGTCTGGAATTTTTCCAGCTGTCTGCAGGCCACTAGAATTGCCACCACGGGGTTTTGGAGTTGCTGCTTACGAGTGTCTCCTCTGTTCATTGACATAATTTTGATTCCCTTTTGAAGCATGACTTGGGCACTAGTGATGTTGAGACTGCTCGAACCCTTGGTGCTGAAGTCACCACTATTAGTTTTATGAAATTTTGCAAATGAGTCAAACAGCCTGAATCAATGTACTATGCGTTAAGCGAACAATTTTGAACACACAAGACGAATTGGAAAGGTGTTATAAAACTATATATCGAAGGGTATTAACTTTTGTACAGCTTCCTATTTCAATGAGTTGTATATCAATAAAAAGAACCATAACTAGTAGAAGTTTATAGAGCATAAAATTGTTTTCTTCGAAATAAAAATTGCTGCCGACATTTTATGAATTTAAAGAACCATTTAAGAAATTCGTTCAAAACTGATAGAAGTTTTGATGTTTGTATTTAAAATCAACTTTTTCTAATATAAAGAGTCTATACACACAAGTAAAACATAAGAATAAAAGTTTTGTAGCAATAAAAGAAAAAAATATGAAAAACCTTTTAAAAATATTTTATTGATGAGCACTTAAATAAAAAATTCTAATTATAAACTGATGTATATTACCTAATCATATAGATTTTAACCTTTAAAAATAATTTTTTAGAACTCTATCAGACGAAATCAGGATAATCAATTGTAAAGATGCACAACCATTTTAAATGAAGGGAAACTTGTACAGCAGGTTGAATAATAAAGGGGCCCGCAAGCGTATGTAGACATGTTAACGGCAAATAAAATTGTTCTATAAACATAAGCACCATTTTTTTAAATCAGTAAACCTAGAAAAGTAATATTTTCAGAAAATTAAATACTTTTAATTTGTAGTTTTTTTTCAATTATTAAAATTAATTTAAAAATAAAAAAAAAAAAAAGTATTTTTCTGTCATATCACTTAGTACAAAAAATCTTTAAAATAAATTCAAATTTAAAAAAAAAAAAAAAAAATCTTTAAAATAAATANAAAAAAAAAAAAAAAAAAAAAAAAAAAAAAAAAAAAAAAAAAAAAAAAAAAAAAAACAACTTTTTATTGTGTACAGAAGCTTTTGCAAGCCGCACATAAACAACTCCATATCAATTGAATCGGGGGGCTGATCATGGTCACCCCATTGAGCTATAAATGCTTAAATCGTTAAAAATAGTAGGGATTTGGCACTTTCTCCATACACCTTGTTCGCATGTTCATACTATACTAACTTGAATTCTGCACAGTGCAGCTACTACAGATTTTGAGAAGAACCTACATAAGTGAATGCATCGGAACAAATGAATGTGCCAAGTTCTAACATAACATTTTTCAAACTTGGGAAATTTTTTTTATTAATCTGTTAAGTTTACAATGAATCAGTAAAATTAAATAAGAGCTACCACTTTTAAGCAGTTAAAAATACAGACAATTTGTTAATTATCATAACAGAAAGAAACAAGCTCATATTTAAATTACAGCCTGAAATGTTTTTGACTGCTTAGTCAGATGGTTAAAAGCAAGGTCATCAATTAAGTTGAATCAGGGGGCTGATCGCCATCATCATACTAAGCATTGTGTGGATTATTTTACTAACAAATAAAGAATGAATAGTAAAATGCATAAACCATACAATGTTTAATAATTGAATATTTCAATGTAAGAAAAATTTGCGACAGCAACGTGCACCAGGACTCTAACTGCGCTCAGCATGACACTTTCTGTCTGAGCTTAAGTTTACACACAAAATAGAAAAACCAAAACTAGACCAAAAAACTGAGGAAAAAGCAAGACTAAGAGAAAAATATGTCAAAGTACAAAATTATTATACAGCATAACTATTTTTCTTATACACTCTTAAGCTTAAAAATCATGCAAGATTTAAAAAACCATTTTAGAAAATCGACCGAAACATTTGTTCATCAAAGTAAACAAACCGCTAATTAAATTTCAATTGATAGAGCATGTATTTGAAGTTTTACTCCAGTACAAGCAGTATAAAAAGGAAAACATGCCAAAGTGAATACAGAATTATACATCACAAGCTCTTTAATTCTAACTTTCAGCTTGATAAAAAATCGACTGAACCATTTAGAAATTGACTGAACCATTTGTTCATCACAGCAAACAAACAGCTAATTAAATTTCAATTGATATAGCATGTATTTGAAGTTTTACTCCAGTACAAGAAGCAAAACAAAAAGGAAAACATGACCCCCCCCAAAAAAAAAGATATAAAATTATAAATCACAAGCTCTTTATTTCTCACTTTCAGCTTAATAAAAATCATGTAAGAAAATCGACTGAACTATTTGTTCATCACAACAAATAGCTAATTAAATTTCAATTGATATAGCATGTATTTGAAGTTTTACTCCAGTACAAGAAGCAAAACAAAAAGGAAGACATGCCAAAAAAAGATTATAAAATTATATATCACAAGCTTTTTACTCTTAGCTTAATAAAAATCGTGTAAGAAAATCGACTGAACTATTTGTACATCACAACAAACAAATAGCTAATTAAATTTCAATTGATATAGCATGTATTTGAAGTTTTACTCCAGTACAAGAAGGAAAACAAAAAGGAAGACATGCCAAAAAAAGATTATAAAATTATATATCACAAGCTCTTTACTCTCTTAGCTTAATAAAAATCGTGTAAGAAAATCGACTGAACTATTTGTTCATCACAACAAATAGCTAATTAAATTTCAATTGATATAGCATGTATTTGAAGTTTTACTCCAGTACAAGAAGCAAAACAAAAAGGAAAACATGCCAAAAAAAGATTATAATATCACAAGCTCTTTATTTCTCACTTTCAGCTTAATAAGAAAAATCATGTAAGAAAATCGACTGAACCATTTGTTCATTAAAGGAAACAGGTAATTAAATTTCAATTGATACAGCATGAGTTCGAAATTTTGTTTTACAAATAAAATGAAAAACAGGACAACTTTGCACGGCACAATTAATATGAGTTTATGAAAAGTTAACACACAATGACATGTTAATAACGTATGTTTGAAATGATTATTTGCTGATAATTTTTACAGCAAGAAAAAATTAAGAAATATGTATTAAGGATCATTTATTTCTCAGACAAAATCACGATCATCAGTTGAGTCAGGGGGCTGAGATCATAAATTGAGTCAGGGGACTGATCATAGTCATTATGCCCAAGAAATATTGCAAAAAATTATGCAATAACACCAAAAATGCATAATTATTTTCTATTAATTTGTTACACATGTTACAGCAGGGAAAGAGGATTTATAAATCCATCTGTCATTAACATGGAATAAAGGAGTGCATATTAAAATATGAGCAATTTTTTAGAATTATTTACTCACAATACTAAATGTAAAGGAGGTACATAAATAGAAAAATTATTAGATTACTTAGAACACCTTGTTTGCTTATTGGATACTTATTTTTTTATTCTAGTTCATGATGTTGGTATTCTTATTAAAATGAAGTTCAATTCTTACAAATGACAATTCATCATGTTTTCCTGAATAAGCAATGATAAACGTCAGTGTTTGGAGTCACAATTTTAATTATTTTATTCCTTCATACACGTGTGTTGTTACAAATCTCAGATTGTTTCGAAGGAATAGACAATCCCAAAGAATCTAAAATTTTTCAAAAACAATAGTGGGTCCCAGACAGCTTAGTTTTATGACATACTTAGTTTTATGAAGTAGAATAAAGACCAAAGAAAAATGTAAGGAAAAAAAGTGAAGCAGGCCAGTCTGTTGACAAGATGCATATATCACCTGTGTTAATGAAGAATCTATACAACTAAAATATAGCTCAGAATTATAATAGGAACAGCATAACTGAACATACTTAAAGTCAAAATTTCAACCAGCTTTATTTTATATGAATTATTTGTTTCATTTTTTATTTCTACCCACAACAGAAAAATTTCAACCAGAAATTGGTCACCACAAAGTGGAATATGAATTGTCACTATATGAATTATCAACAATGACTGCTAGCCACCTTGACATTACCTTTCTTTGTTGCCAGCATAAAAAAAGAAGTTTACAGTTAGCAGGAAACTACCACAGGTTAATCTAAGGATAATACGGTAGCTCGTTTAACACAGCAATCTACTTCTTATGCGGTGATAGTATGCTATTACAGTCAGATGTGAAATGATGTCCTATTAAAAAATATATAGAGAGAGCACACTTTCACCACCAATG